CTATCTATCTCACATCTATCTATCAATCAATCATCTACATTATCTATCTATTTATATCTATTATTTATCTGTCATCTACATTATCTATGTATCTATCACCTTCTCTCTCTCCTATCTATCTTACACCTATCTATCATCTACATTATCTATCAATCATCTACATTATCTATCTATCTCTATCTATCTATCATCTACATTGCCTTCAATATACCTATCATCTACATTATCTATCTATACCTACCTACCTACCTTCTTATCCATCCATCCATCCATCCATCCATCCATCCATCCATCCATCTGTCCTTATCTTGCCTATTGCACTATACTATATAAATTATTCGTTTGTTCATTCATTCGTTCATTTATTCATTCCTTTGTTCAATTTCTGCAGACCCACCGAGCCTCCTCCATCAGCCAGGTGGGCAATATTGTAGAAGAATTGGCTTTCTTGCACTCTGTCCAGTCGGGATTAACACCCAGGCTTCCAAACGTCAACCCACCCTGGGATATCTCCCCTGCAAAGAACCCACCACCTTTTTCCTCTCCAGCACTTGACTAAAGAGAAGAATATCAAGAATGTAACCTCTGCCTATACATCAACAGAGGGAGGTGCTGCCCCAAACTTGCTCCTTCCCTTCCTCTTCCCTCCCCCTCCATTCTTCCTCTTGCATCGCATGTTAAGTTGCCCAATGTATGAGAGACTCTGACGCATCCTCCCTCCCCGGGGGGGGGGGGGGGGGGGGGGCTTGTTTATATTTATTGTTTAATTGGTTCTGAGGGTTGTTTTAGAGGGTTTTAATTTGTTTTATTGTACGCAGCCCAGAGTCACATGGGGTATATGTAAATTAGATAAATCAATAGAGCTTACTTTACTTTCATGTGTACTTTTATATATCTTGGATATGGGATTCTTTTTAATGTTGGCACCGGAAGAGATTTGAAGATTCCCTCGTTCAGATGCTCATTTTATTGTTCTCTATTCATGCTATTTATAACACATGTTAATGTGCATTTGGGGGAAAATAGTGCAATAGCCAAAAACAGCATTTGCTTGTGTGGTGTTGAACTAAAAGTAATCCTGGACTTACAACTTTTGATTTAATGACGGTTCCAAGTTCCAAGGGCACTGAAAAAAGTGACTTACGACCATTTTTCACACTTGTGACCATTACAGCATCCCCATGGTACACGTGATCAAAATTCACACACGTGGCAGCTGACTCATATTTATGACAGTCGCAGTGCCCCAGGGGGGTCATGTGATTCCCTTTTGTGACCTACTAACAAGCAAAGTCAATGGGGGAGCCAGATTCACTTAATGATCGTGTTACTAGCTTAAACAACTGCAGGGATTCACTTAACAACGCCGGCAAGGAAGGTAATAAAATGGGGCAAAATTACAACTGTGTCACATAGCAATTGAACTTTTGGGCTCAATTGTGGTTGTGTGAAAAACAGGGATGCTGCAACGGTTGTTAAGGGTGAAAAAATGATCATAAATCACTTTTTTTCAGCAGCCACTGTAACTTCCAACAGTCACTAAACAAACAGTTGTAAGTTGAGGACTATCTGTATTTAAGAGGAAGCTTGTGCATCTAACCACAGAAAAAGGGTCCCGTAACTAAATTCATCCATCACTGTTTTGAGTAATCAAAACCACACAGTAGTTTTTAAGTTTGAAGCAACACTGCCCCAAAAAACAAAACCAAAAAAAACCCACAATTGCTAGAATTTAAAAAAAAGCCTTTTTCAAAAATTCTTCCTCAACTTTTATAGCCAGATGCAGATTATCTATAAAAGCATGAAAATGCATTCCTGAAACTGAAGTGAAATCTGGATAAACCCTAATAGCACAAATATACTGTAATTATTTCCCTTTTAAAAAAAAAAAAACATTTTTTTACAAACTCTCTTCCATTACTGGAAGTCTGAGTCACAATTACCAGCAGGAAGTTGGACAGAAAATCAGGGGAAGTTTTGCGTATTTTCAAGGCTCTGATGAACTCCAAACTACAGGTAATCCAGCTGTTGGATGTTTATTCTCCCTAGCAGCGTTCAGTCGGTTAGCTAGTCACCCCACAGCGGCCATGGACAGATATCCCCTCTCCCCAAATTAAAGGATCACTGTGTTGGCAATCTTAGATTGATGGTTGAATAAAAGGCAGGTTTTTTCCTTATGAAACAGGGCAATGTTTTATGCACTCATGCAGAGAAAATGTATCTGAAACCAAGAACGGTTGGAAGCTTTACCAAGGGAGATCCAAATTTGAAATCATGAGGGATTTCCTGATTCCGAGAGTTATTAAGCCATTTTGGTTTAAGGCGCCAGGTTAGAAAGCAGGAAACTGCGCGTTCTAATCCTGCCTTAGATATGAAAGCTGGCGGGGGACTTTGGGCCAATCACCAGGAGACTGTGAATTTTAGTCCTGCCTTAAGCATGAAACCAGCTGGGTGATCTTGGACCAATCATGAGGAGACTTGGAGTTCTGGTCCTGCCTTACGGCATGAAAGATGCTAACTCTGTAAACCACTTAAGAGAGGGCTGTAAAGCG